AAAAAAAAAAAAAAAAAAGTCTTAAGTTCAATTCCCAGCAACCACATGGTGGCTCACAGCCATCTGTAATGAGGTCTGGTGCCCTCTTCTGGCCTTCAGGCATACACACAGAATGAATATTGTATACATAATAAATAAATATTAAAAAAATTTAAATAAATAAAGAATAAGAGAAAAATTCTAAGTAAATGCCCATTACATGCAGACATCTATATTTCAATATTTACTTACATCATCACCAGAGAAATATTGATCTATGATTTCAAATGCTAATTTATATATGTCTTCATTTTCATGTTGCTGCAAAACTTCAATTTTCTCCAAACCTGCCAAAAAATATAAGAATACTTAAGGTGGTAGTAATCTGCATAATCTAGTTACAGAAAAGCTCTATGAACCTCAGAGTATGTCATTTCTCACTCAAATATGACCGTCTAAGATCTGGAGAGGTGGTTCACCAGTGAAGAGCACTGGCTGCTCTTCCTGAGGACCTCGGTAAATTCCCATCAACCACATTGTGAAGCACAACCATCCATAGTGGGATCTGATGCCCTCTTCTGGAATAAAGATGTGCATGTAGGTACATAAAATAAATCTTTTTTTTAAAAAAAGTAACAGTCTGAAAGAACACGCAAAAACCCAACCATCAGCCAATTAATTCCTTCCCCTTAAAAATATTTGATATTCCCTGGTCTCACAAACCAAAAACAAACAAAAACCCAACTCAATCACCAAAACATTCCATTTGACAGAGATGACAGGGGTTTGCTTCTTGGTGCATGGCAAGTTAATGACAGTACAAGATCGGAAAACCTCCCAAAAGGTTTCAATATAATCATGATAGCTCTTCCACAGTTTTCTGAATGTAGGTCTTTAGAACTAAATTGATGGAAGCTTTAGATCAAAAACACTGCATTTCAAAAAGGGAGTAAGTCAGGCAGTGGTGGCGCGTGTTTAATCCTAGCACATGGGAGGCAGAGGAAGGCGGATCTCTGTGAGTTTGAGGTCAGCCTGGTCTACAGCGCGAGTTCCAGGACAGACACAAAGTTATATGGAGAAAACCTGTCTCGAAAAAACAATAACGAAGTGAACAGGTTATGTTCCACAGGTATGGACAGCAGGAGGAAGTATTCATCACTCATCCCCTTTTCAGGTTTTATGAGACAAGACTGTGTAGTCAACTCTGGACTTGAACTTGAGGTCCCCTGCTTCTATCAAGTGCTGCATACAGGTGTGCATACCTGTGCGCAATTGAGAGTATCTTTTATAGTTCCATTGTACCACAGACTTCATGTACCAGGTGCACAACTTTATGTAATTAAAACCTTAGTATTCATCCAGGAGATAACATTTTTTAACATATTAAACCAGTTGACTTTTAAAATATTATACACAAATCAGAATATGGAGAAATAGGTGTCAACACTAATAAATGAAAATACTTTATAAGATGATATTACACATTGTGATTATTACTCCAACAGGAACAAACATAACTTTAACATTAAAGAATTGTCTAAGCTATTCAAAATTACTGGGTTATGAACTTGACTATGAAATTAATTTTTATCTTATAAGATATTGTAATAAAAGCATGAGCATGAATTTGCTTGTATCGAAACTATTTACACGATCTTGAACAAAATTCTCACATACTTTTCTGTTTTTATTGATCTGTGAGGCTATTGCATTTATATTCTCTAAAGCATAAGCTAGGTAAACTACAGGGCTAACAAAAATGCAAACAAACAAATCATTGCTTATAGTTTTATAGCAATGTCTGGATACTTTAGTACATACAGAACAGGTACTTTTTAAGAACAGAATTTTTAAATACGTATTTATGTCCTTACCAGAAATTATAATACTAAATAAATGACTTCAGTCCTATTAACATCAACACGCTTTTGTAACAATCCTAAAAGTCTTTCCAACTTTTGGAATTCAAACAAGACACACACAATTGGGCAACCACTTCCCAAAGAAGGGTCTACCCAGACACACGGTACTATGTATAACATAAAAATAATGTGTTTGCTTTGTCTAGAGTTTGAGAATGGAGTAAAGAAAGCTTTTACCTACTCCACTAGTCCACCAGGTTTAACATTGTACACTGTGACTTCAAAATGAACGCTGTGGTATGGTCCTCAGAACTGAGTTGTCGGGAGGACTTTAAGGACCATTAAGTAACAGGGCCTACTGAAGGTTTGATGTTGGGGATCTGGCCTTAGAAGAGTTAGTAAAGCTTTTGCAGAACCATCCTTAGCTTTATCTTACACTGTACATTATTGCAAAGCACTGGGCACTGAGTCTGACCCTGGATCTGTCTTGTATTCTCTTATGTGTTCTGTCCTGCTGCTCCAGCCGAGGACTTTCCTAGAGGCACACATATCTGTACATTACACACTAATTCAACAACCATTCTGTCTTACGCTTTCACTTTCCACACTTCCCAGCTAAAGAAACCTTGCTTTTCTAAGCACTTAGCCTCCCTCCCATATTTCCGGTATGGCAATGGAAATAATGAGTTATTCCCTAAAATCCACCAACCTCCAGGAAAACTGACTTCATGACCAGTATTTCTAAAGTATGAACAACTGTATTCTTTGTGAAAATCCTTCAGCAATGCTAATATGCTGAATAAGACCAGGAAAATACTCCGGTCACTTAATAACAATGAGCCTGTAGTAATTTTCTAGTAAGCTGAGCTGAGAGGAACTAGTATTTTAGAACGCCAGCATTCACCTACTCACCTCCGCACTCCTCTATTATTTCAGCGATTGTGCTCGCTTCGTCACCAGCCATTATCAGGATGTTTTTAAGACCATCCAGAACCACCTGAACCACCTGAGAGTCTTTCACCGACAGTAAGTTACAGAATGGTGGTATTACATTCTGTTGTACAAGGTACTCCACCTAGACAATACAAAAGAAGAAAGAATCTATGAATTCTCTTTCCCTCTAGAAACTGCAGTAGACGAAAATGTCCAGTAACTTCTAAGAATAAGAAAGAAGTGTCCTTGCTGCAGTTAGTAGCAGTGACCAGTTACATTTTTTCAAACTCACTTGATCTTTTCTGCCACTTATCGTTAAGTTGCTAATTGCCCAAGCAGCTTCCTTTTGTGTTCCGAAGTCCCCCTGGAGAGTAAAAAAAAAACTCATGAAATAAATTCTTTATCCAAAAGTCTGGGTTGTAATAAATTAAGGTAAACAATGTATTAATGATATGACTGACCTTAGCAAGCTGGTGAATGATCATGGGGATTAATCCAGCATCTATTACAGCTTGAACTTGCTGCTGATTGCCTGCTGTTATATTGGAAAGGAACCAAACTGCTTCCTGTAGTGAACAAAATATGGGTCAGTTTTATCGGAAAAACTGTATTTATTATCTGTATTTTTATTTTTAATATTATAAATATTTGATAACAAAATCTCCTGAGTAGGGTTAAAGTGACCGTGTCTAAAATATGACTGGATAAGACCTCCATTTTCTTTTACTTACTATCATTTTATGTGAGTCTAGTGTTTGTAAACAAGTAAACGGATGTGCCCATGCATGCCATGGTGTGCATGTGCAGGTCGGTACTTCCCTCCAGCATACGGTTCCAGAGATCAAACTCAGGTTGTCAGGTTTACATGGCTAGCATTTTTACATGTGATTTAGCCAACTCAGACCTCCCATTTCATTAAAGGGAAGCCTCCTTCCCCAATACTTCTGTGTCCACTTAAACCATTATTTATTCAATAATCTGTAAGCCTAGCTAAAGCTACATATTGTTCTAGGCAATGGTGATACGGCAACAAATAAAACAGACCCAAATCTTTAGCCTAGGGGTACATTTCATTCTCTTTTTGAAAGGCAGGCCAGAAGAATGGAGTTTCCAAATACTCGTCAACACTACTTGTATTAAAGAGCTGTAGTTTATTGGAAAGCATGAGGCGGGGGAGAAGGATCACTGGGTAAGGTGCCGAGGTCCTGATGCTCAGCACCTGTGTCAAGATGCATGGTGATAAGCGTCTACACTCACAGCTGCAGAGAAAGCAAACCCTAATATACAGTCAAGTACAGTCATTAGTGAAAGTCTGAAGGTTCCTCAAAAAGCTACCACACAATTGCCATGATTCAGCAACTTCCAGTATGTCAGAAAGGAAATTAAACCAAGGACTGAAACAGTCCCTGAGGTATCAGTGTTTTCTGCATTAATTACACAGACACGAGGTATGAACAACCCCAGTGTCAACCAACAGGCAAATGAGGAAAATGTGGCGCATACATACGAACAGAATGGCTTATTCAGCCATAAAAGCAAATCAAGTCAGGGCTCTGGGAGGTGGCTGCGTTGGGGAATGGCTTGCCATGCAAGCATGAACATCTGACGGATCTCCAGCATCCAGGTAAAAGTAGGACTCAGTGGCATCTCTACCTGGAGCACAACTGAGGCAGAGAGGGGGTCTGTGGTACCCATGTCCAATGAGAGACCCTGACTCAAAATACAAGGTGGAGGAGCTGGAGAGATGGCTCCAAGACAAAGAACATGGACTGCTCTTCTCCAGAATCAGAGCTCAGCTCCTCGGAACCACACTGGGTGGCTGACAACCGCCTGTGCCTCCAGCTCCAGAGAGCTGATGCCAGATGCACATACCCATCCGCCCGTACACTGAAAAGACACAGAACTAATGTAAAAGTAATTTTAAAAAAATACATGTAGAGGGAGGAGAGGGGAGGGGAGCAGAGAAAATGTACAGTTCAATAAAAACAAATTTTAAAAAGAAAGGAAAAAAATACATGTAGAAAGTAACTAAGGAAGATACCTGATGTTAACTTTGGTTTTTCACACACACACACACACACACACACAGAGAGAGAGAGAGAGAGAGAGAGAGAGAGAGAGAGAGAGAGAGAGAGAGAGAGCACTCTAATACATTGTTTTAAATAAACTTTGAAACACAGTATAGGATAGGCAAAACAATCCTGTACAATAAAAAAACTTCTGGAGGCATCATAATTCCTGACTTCAAACTCTACTATAGATCTGCAGCCTGGTATTGGCATAAAAACAGACAGGAGGACCAATGAAACAGAATCAAAGACCCAGATATTAATCCACACACCTACAAACACCTGATTTTTGACAAAGAAGCAAAAAATATAAAATGGAAAAAAAGCATATTTAACAAATGATGCTGGCATAACTGGATAAACATGTAGAAGAATGAAAATAGATCTAAGACTATCACCATGCACAAAGCTCAACTCCAAATAAATCAAAGACCTCAATATAAAGCCAACCACACTGAACCTCACAGAAGAGAAAGTAGGCACAGTAGACCACTTTCTAAAATATAACCCCAGTAGCACAGACACCGAGAGAAACAATAACTGGAACCTCCTAAAAATGAGAAGCTTTTGTAAAGCAAAGAACATGGTCAACAAGACAAAATGACAGCCCACTTCACTAACCCCACATCGGACAGAGGACTGATCACCAAAATATACAAAGAACTAAAAAAATTGGTCATCAAAAGAACAAATAATCCAATTTTAAAAAATGGGGTACAGACGGAAATAGAGAACTCTCAACAGAGGAATCTATAATGGCTGAAAGACACTTAAGGAAATGCTCCACATCCTTAGTCATCAGAGAAATGCAAATCAAAACAACTCTGAGATTCCATCTTACACCTGTAAGAAGGGCCAAGATCAAAAACACTGATAAAAACTTATGCTGGAGAGGATGTGGGGTATTGCTGGTGGGAGTACAAGTTGGTACAGCACCTTTGTATATCATTATGATGATTTCTCAGAAAATTAGGAATCAACCTTCCTCAAGACCCAGTAATACCACTTTTTTTTTTTTTTTGGCTCAATTGTACTACAAGGACATGTGCTCAACTATGTTCATAGCAGCATTGTTTACACAATGGAGTACTACACAGCAGAAAAAAATGATATCTTTAAATTTCTAGGCAAATGGGTGGAGCTAGAAAACATCATTTTGAATGAGGTTACCAGACCCAGAAAAACATATGTACTGACTCACAAGTGGCTTTTAGACATAAAGCAAAGAAAACCAACCCAGAAATCATAAGCTCAGAGAACCTAGAGAACAATGAGGACCCTAAGAGAGATAGATATACATTGATCTAATCTATATGGGAAGTAGAAAAAGACAAGATCTCCTGAGTACATTGGGAGCATGGGGACTATGGAAGAGGGTTGAGGGGAGGGGAGAAAAAGAGAAGGGGAGCAGAGAAAAATGTATAGTTCAATAAAATCAATAAAAAAAAAACATGGTATGTGAAATAAGCCATAAACTCTTAAATAATTATTTACTATACAACTAATAATAAATTTTTAAATAAATTTGAAACTTTTAAAAGTAAATTTTTATCACCTTTGATAGAAGGCATGACACCTTTAGAATTAGGTCTATTCTAATTTTGTAGGGGAATAACTTAACTGTTTTAAAATTACCAGTTATTTTAGTGAGAGATTATGTTTTTGCATACTGGTTACTAATTTAATGATACTGTTCAACCTATAAGCACATAAATAGTCCAAAATAATTTTATTGTGATGATAGTACGACTAAAGGAAACAGAAACTAAAACAGTTTTAAAGATTCACTTACAACCATCCTCATCCTGAGTGCCATGACCCTGAGTGAGAAAACACACAGTAACAGCAGCAAGGAAACAGCACAGACAGAAGGGCAGTGTGTGCCTTTACCTTATTTATTTTCTCTTTCGGGTGTGATAAGAGGTTTGGGAAGTGGGACAGGACATCGCAGTTAAGAACCACCTGGGTCTGCTCGTCAGTGCCGGTCACTATGTTCCCAACTGCTCTGAGTGCTGCAGTCTAGAGAGGGGAGAACATGTTTTAAGTATGTTTATAATGAAATTGTCATCTCTGTAGTTTTCATAACTTTGGGATGTGAGGAGCAAATGATGAACATTTATTTCATCCCTACAGCAAAGCCAGAACCAAACTAGCAAGGACTTTTAAACAACCATCTCCTACGGAAAATTATAGAACTCCACAAAAATTAGGTGAAAATTTGTTAGAAGAAAGATTTTTAGGCCTAGTAGTTATGGCCCACACCTTTAATCTGGGCACTTGGGAGGCAGAAGCAAGAGGATCTGTGAATTCGAGACCAGCCTGGTCTACAGAGCGAGTTCTAGGACAGCCTTGTCTTGAAAATAACAAAAGAAAACCAAAACCATGCTCTGCCCTCAAAACCACACAAATATAAAGCATCTAAAAAAGAAAGTTTTTAAAACAGTGGAAACTAAAAATCATCAAGTCCTTTCTTTAAAAACAGTTGTTCTTATGACCAAAGCAGCACCACAGATTTTAATATAATATTTAATGTTACCCGGGGTCAGCATGCATTTGTAGGGAGAAGCATGACGAGCAGAACTAAATGCCGACCCTAATCAGAACAGAGTCGGGGTTCACAGCTGGAAGGCTCTGGAAACTACCCAGAGACAGAGAGCTGAGATAGGCAGACGGAAAGCTTCAGTGAGAAGGAAAGGGAGCTGTGACAGAGGGGCTGGAGGCGAATGTGGGCATCAGACAAGCAGTATGCTGTCTCCTAACAGGATACTAGAAGAAAAAGCTATTTGTGGAGACCAACAGTTTCACGTCTTTCTATTTGAAATCATAATGGAATGTATGCAGGTCTATGTTTAATGGCTTACGTAACTGAAAAGCTGAAAAATTATTTCAAATGAACAAATGTGGGTTCAGGAGATAAACTAGGGCAATCCTGAGGTGCATGCTGCTGAACTTAATAAAAAGAAGATACTTACTTGAACTTTCACTTCCTGGTGGCTCAGAAGGGGCACGAGGAATGGTACAACCCCTGAATCAATAACCATCTGTATCTGCTCATTTCCTCCATCTGTCAAGTATGACAGAGCCCAAACAGTGTCCACCAGAATCTATAAGAAGGACAAACAGAAAAAAGCTATTCCAGAAGTTGTAACAGAAAAATAAGGAGTTTTCTGTTTTAACTTGGTAGGAAAGATAACCGTGTACATGACTGATATAAGTGTAATCTTTATCTCAGGGCTTACCTGCGATCACCTTTCATAAACATGAGACAGAAGTTTAGGATGCTTGTTTCTAATTTCTGACTTTATGTACCAGATAGATAAAAATAAAAATAATGTGTTGGCAAGATAGCTTAGCAAGCAAAGAGTTTGCAAGTTATCCTGGTGACCTGAGTTTGGTCCCCAAAACCAACATAAAGGTGGAAGAAGAGAACCAACTAGAGAAAGTCATCCTCTGATCTCCACACAGGTACAGCATTCATACATAAACATAATACACAATCATAAAATAAAAATTGTTAAACAAGCATAAAATTTTCCCTGAGCCCAAAAATTATTGTGATCTATCTCATACACAAGTCTGAGGCCAAAACACTACTCTGCTTCAAATCTAGAAGACCCCAAAATAATCTGCCAATACAATTTTTCCAACTACTAAAGTGAATAGGCTAAGGAATGATTCAGTACTTGAACCTTGACAAAGGCCCTCAAATGAAAAGCATGAAGTACAATCACGTAGTGCTGAGTGTAATGGCACACGTGTGTGATCACAATACGTGGGAAATGTAACCAAAGGAGCAGGAGGAAAAGCCACCCTCAGCTACACAGTGAGTGTGAGCAGCCTAGGCTGCATGAGACCCAAAACCCAAATTAAGCCACATGCTCATCCATCTGAAGTTTTCAACTACAAGAACAAGACCAAACAGGGTACCAGCCTCCAGGATCTGGTGAACTGATTCAGTACACAGAGGTAGTGTGTGGTTCTCCTTGGTGTCCTCACAGCAGCAAAAGCACCACTCTTAACCCATCTGAAATCCAGAGGCCTTTCTACTAAGTGTCCAAATTAAAGACACCTTTTGCCTGAAGTTTTCAAAAGCAGCTACCTCAACACACATATCCTTTAAGAAGGCATGTGTACAAGTCAGAGGAGCAGATAAAACTACACATAACTTATACCTTTAGCACTACTAAGAATCATGAGAACACAATTCCAAATTACCTATAAGAAGAAAACAAATACTAATTTGGACCTGGACTCATTCCAAACCTGTGTGAGATGAAAAGAATAAAGAATGAGAAGGAATGGAAGAGGTACAATTATGCATGTTTGAAACAGAAACTGTCAGGGGGAGCACTACGGAGGAAAAAAATCAGAAGGAACTCAAGAGCAACACCAAAAGAAGCCATATAATCTAAGTATGGTTTGAATATAATGACTCCCATCGGCTCATATATTTGAATATTTTGTCATTGGGGGTGGAACTGTTTTAGAAGAACTAGGAAGTATGGCTTTGTTGGAACAGGTGTGTCATACTGGAAAAAGTAAGTGTGTCATTGGAGATGGGCTCTGAAGTTTCAAAAGCCCAAGCCAGGCCTAGTGTCTTTCTCTTCTGTCTCATGTATGTGGATCAGAATGCAAGTTCTCAGCTACTGCGCCAGCACCATGCCTACCTGCATGCTACTATGCTCCCCACCATGGTGATAATGGACTAAACTTCAAAACTATAAGCAAGCCCTGATTAAATGCTTTCTTTTGTAAGCGTTGCTGTGCTTGTGATGTCTGTTCTCAGCAATTAACACAGAAACTGTACCAAAACTGGGGTGTTGCTGTGACAGGCCTGGCCATGCAGTTTGTTGGCAGAATGTGGACTCTGGATTAGGAAAGCAGGTGAAAGCTTTAAGTGGGGCTTAACAGGCCAAACTAGTAAGAGCAGGGAAGATGGTGCTGAGAGCAATGGAGACGACAACAGCCTGGCCCAAGAGGTTTCAGAAGAGAGGAAAGTTAAAGTGGCCTTGAGACCATACTTGCAGTATTTTCGTAGAGTGTGGCTGTTTTCTGCCCTTGTCCACCCCACCCCCAATCTGCCTGACAGTAAACTGAAGACTTTTCGATTAATGGCATTTGCAGAGGCAATTTCAAGATAGCCTAGTATTGACTGTGCTGTGTTGTTATTAGTGTTCAATCTTACGTAGATGTTGAACAAGCAAGCTGAACAAGGAGAAATAAAAAAAAAAAATGTACAGTTTGAAGAGAAAAAGGCACCAAGAAATGGAGCTAAGTCCAGTGTTCAAGGAGATAAAAAGTTTAAAGTCCAATGCTAAATAGAATAAAGGGAATGGTGACCTCCGGGCAAGACCCCATCCAGCTAAGCTTCCAACTTGTGACGAGGGAATTAAGAGAAAACCTTAAGTGAAGGAAACCACTGAAAACAGAAAGCTAATCAAGGGGACCAAGCTCCAGTCCCAATAAGCAACAGATCTTGGCAGCTTTGGCCATGTGCTTCTGACCTTAGTATCAAGGATGCAAAATATGGGTTGTGGAATCTGAGATCTGCTGAAGGCAAGTGTGTGGCAGTGGTGTTCCTTCATGAAAGCCATTGTGGGAAGCTGTGAAGGTGAAGTAGGGATTGCCTTGGAGACCCCAAGATGTTAGAAATGTCAGAGCCACGGGATACCTGCTGAGGAAAGCTTAAGACTGGGTGTGGAACCAGCCCAAGAGAGAGGAGTGTTGTAGTCAACAAAGCTGGAAGGAGTTGGAGTTCTGAAAAGCTCATCAGGCATGGAAATGCAGAATTTGGAGTTTGCTCTGCTGGTTTTCACTCTTGTGTTGTACGGTATTTCCTCATTGTAAGCCCTTTCCTCTGTGTTGTTAAGTACAGGTTCTACCTTTTTTTGTTTTTTGAGACAGGATTTCTGTGTTGCCCTGGCTGTCCTGGAAATAGCTCTGTAGACCAGGCTAGCTTTGAACTCAGACATCCACCTGCCTTTGCCTCCTGAGTGCTGGGGTTAAAAGCATGTGCCACCAACGCATAGCTGAACTTTAAACTTTTAAACAGTGTTGAGACTTTTAAAAACTTTTGAAGCTGAATCGAATGCATTTTTACATTATGATACGGCTACAGCTTATGGGGCCAGAGAGTGGACTGTGATGGCTTGAAAAAGAATGGTTCCCCCCATAAGCTCATATATCTGAATGATTAGTTATCAGGGAATGGCAATGTTTTTGAAGGATTAGGTGGTATGGCTTTGTTGGAGTGGGTGTGACCTTGTTGGAGGAACAAAGTCAGTGAGGGTGGGTTTTGGGGTTTCAAAAGCCTAAGTGTCTCTTTCATACTGCCATCTGAGGATTCTTCTTTAGCACTATGTTTACCTGCACGCTACTATGTTCCCCACCATGCTGACAATGGACTAAACTGTAAGCAGGCCTCAATTAATTGTTTTCCATTTAAAGACTTGCTGTGGTTGTGGTGTCTCTTCACAGCTACAGAACACTAAGACATTAAGTAACAGTATTAACAACAACAACAACAACCCCAAAAACCTGAAAGGAGCAAAGCCAAGGAGCTTGCAGTACAACAAGAAACTGACATCTGAGTCATCAAGAGTCCCAGGACAAAGAACTGGAAACAGCCTTAGTCCCAAGACTGCGAGCCGCCTCTGTGTTGAGGAGGTGGGAGTTAAGTATACATTTATTTTTACTGTGATTGTTCAGGACCACACTTTACAAAATGCCTTGTTTCCTTTACTGCTGTTTTGGAATGAAAAGTTTTATTAAAATTGTTTTAGTTTTGAATACAATACAGAATAGTTCTATTAATTACGACTAATTTTGGAAAACTCTTGAGCTTTCATTCAACTGTTTGCCAAAACCTTCCGAAGTAAAGTGATATTCAAAGACAGTTATTAGACCAGATGGCTTATAGACATTTCTGGGGTATTTACATTTGAAGATTCCATATTAATGAATGTCTGACTTAAATTCTAACCAAAAACTATAACATTATTCTTCATATATTTTCGTTATAAGGATTAACAACCTTAGCTGCAGACAAATAAAATATTTAAGCTTTTTTTTTTTAAAAAAAAAAGGTAGAGCTGAGGAAAAATGTGCATAATGGAGGAAAATGCGCCCAACTGTGCAAACAACTTAAATCTATAGATGCAAAAAGAGAAATGAAGCAAAAATAAGCTCATTGATCACTGCACAGGCAATTGGAATAAAGGAAAGGTATTTAAAAAGAAGTAAATATACAGATGGCTACTAGAATAAAGCATATAAGCATATTAAATATAAGATGATTATAGGATTAAAATTAAACTCTCGTGTTAGGGTTGCACACAGGGCTTTGTCTGCACGAGGCAAGCACTTTACAACTAACCAACAACATCCTGCGTGGAGCCCTCAAATAGCTTCTTAAATAAAAGCCAACTCTACAATCTATACAAGACATTTCTAAAGTAAAGTAATAGAGACTAAAAATAAAACTAAGGGCATACCTATACCAAATAAACAAGAAAAAGAAAGTAGAGGTTGCAATTCTGGTAAGAGAACAGTAGCTAAGAATCAATGCAAAAGATACTTTATGGCAGGAAATTAATAAAGATACAAATGTCTATTCACCAAATAATACTGCAACTGCCATTACAAAATAGATAATATACAAGAAGAATATTTCAAAAAGCTGGAGAAGTTTGTTCTGTTACTGTTTTTTTTTGTTTGTTTGTTTGTTTGTTTTTTGTTTTTTCTTTTTTGGTTTGTTGAGACAGGGTTTTCTGTGTAACCACTGTGGTTGTCCTGGAACTCTCTCTGTAGACCAGGCTGGTCTTGAACTCTGAGATCTGCCTGTCTCTGCCTCCCGAGTGCTGGGATTAAATGTGTGAGGCACCACTGCCCTGCCTCTGTTACTGTTTTTTAGATAGGGTCTCTAAGGCTGGCCTTAAATTCCTTATCCTCCTCCCTTTAGCTTCCAGTGTTGGGATTACAGGCATCTGCCACCAATACCTAGCAATTAGGAAATTTAACACACTACTTTCAGTAACCAGGAGATCAAACCAACAAAGAAACAGCAACAGGGGCTCTAGATTTGTAACCTATATTGAACTTTGTACCCTGGTGTACCCTTTTGAAGAGTAATGACAAGCGTGAGTGTGAACAGCTTTCTGAGTCATGAGTCCTTCTACTAAGTCATCAAGCGCAAAGTGGTCTTTGGGGCGCCCAAGTCCCCTGTCACTAAATACCAAGTCTTGGCACATAAATGATCTGCTAAAATTGATCACTTTCCTTACATTACTAGTAAAAGAGGCTAGGCTGGTGTGAGATGTTATGTGACACTGCATTGTCCACGAACACATTCAAACAGGCGAGAAAGCCAGATACTCTAGCATTACAATCACAAATTAACTTCCAGCGACAAAACACATAAACAAACTGACTCTCTGGATTGTCCTGCGATTTTCCACAGTGGGTGTGGTTTGATTTCTGATGCCTCATAACAGACTACTAATGGTATAAACCCATCTAACTTTCCATAATCCCATCTGACCGCCTTCATTCTCACTAGTTACCATCTCACACATCCTGGTGCCGTGGACCTCTTCCTGCTGATAGCTGTGTTGCCATACACATCCTAAAATATAAGAAACCTGGTATTCCTCATTTCTTTTCTCTCATCACACATATCAAATGCAGCAAACTTTCAATCTAAGCATACTTAGTCTCCCACACTTACATATTTCCCAATCCTCAGCTCTGGCATTGGCTAATTTTCTCCTGTGTCTACCAAAAATGCACTACCAATCTGCCTTTAACTCTACAATTCCCTAAAATCTGTATTTCCTTACAAAATGTGAACTATGAATCCAGAATAATTTCGACCACTTATTCCTAATTTTGCTATCACCAATATAAAAAGACTATGAGTCTTAATATTTTATCCAAGGCCCTGTATGATCTAAATCTGTTTGATCTCTGCCTTTATCAATTCAAATTTTATGTGTTATTGCGCTGATTTAAAGGGAAAAAAATAGCGGGTTCATGAAAGGAGCCAACATAAGAATGCCTTTCAGAACTAGTTTTGCTAACTAGGAAAGAGAACAAGAAAGTTTCACAACCACAAATGGTGTGTGTGTGCGCACGCACACGTGCATGCACACTTAATTGGGTGTTGAAGTGGGAATGCATTAGAAGGGACAGAGCACAGGCAATCATGATGGGACCTTGAACAAAGGCAGCCTCCCCGCTTTAGTTCCCAAAGGAGTCTCAGTAGGAGAGTTAAAGGACAAATGACAGGGGTTCCAAGCATGGAACCTTAACAAGGGAGTTTCTGATTCTTACAGGCTGCCAGAGAGCGGACAGACTTCCTATCATGTGACCCACTTTGGTGGGGCCTGTACACACAGGCAGGCACTAGGCAGGACCACAAGCTTCTCTTGCAGTTGCTAGCGAAGGGTGCTTTCTTACCAACATCCCACTGGGGTGGCCAGTAGAAGGTTTACTTTCACCCCAGGCCTGAGACATAGCAGGTGTCTGTCAGTACTTTGGTCTAAGAAGTGGACAGCAGATTTCTGGGAGAGACGGAGACAGCCACAGGGTCTGTGATCTAATATCTGTTATACTTACACCACTTTGTTGGTTTTTCCTCCCTTGCTTCTAAACTTCAAACACAAAGAATTTTGGGCTGAATTTTAGCACTTTCTAGAATACAGCCTTTCCTATGAAATCTTATTCAATGTCCAGGTTTTTATCAATCCCTCATATTCTGCAAATTTTTAATCTATGCTGGAAAATACTCACAGACAAAGTTGTATAATTCTGGTCACTTTCCTTTCCTTAGCTGTGCCTATAAGCTGTGTTCAAGTTTTCATCAACTTCAAATCTATTTTAAGAAAATAGTTCTGCTTACATAAAACTTCCCTACTATAAGTCATACATTTCTTAGCTGTCTGTTACAAGTATCAATTCTCACTTATCCATCTGAAAACCTTCTATAAACCTCACTCATTACCATGCAAAGCCCAAAGTTTCTAAACACAGGACCCAAGACTCCCATCAAACTTTTGAGTCACTGTCTACTGGTACTCTCTAAAACCTCAAGGTATTCAAGTTCTCAATACCTTTCCTGGTGTTCCTGAAATGATGTTCAACTTGACAAAAACAAAAACAAACAAACAAAAACAAAACCTATTAGTCAACTCTATAACTTAGACAGAAATACCATCTCATAAAACTTTATAAATTAAACAAGTTGACATATATTATGGCAAGTGCAAAAAATAGTCTTCTATACATTTTAAACCAAAAATAAGCATCATCTTGTCCTGCCATAATTACCTTGTACTTACAATGCTAGAAGTACTTCATTTTGTTGTGGGTTTTGTTTTCTTTTGGGATAAGATCTCACTAACTCAGGCTGGCCTTGAACTCCTGTTCCTTCTCTCCCTCCCAAGCAGAAGGATTACAGGTGCAAACCACCACACATAGCTCTTATATTGTTCACTGCATATGTTACTTCCTTGGTGTTATTTTAAAGTTGACAAATAAAATCATATGGATTTCCATAGTTAGTACTCTGGCTATTTCTCTATTATACTTTCTTGTTTCTTTTTACACCATGTTGTGTATTTGTGAGATCATGGTATAGATCATGGACCTAGCTTTAATTCTGTCATGGCAATTATTTATTGTATGACCATAATGGTTCATAAAATTTTTACCATTTTATAGATAGTTGTGGTGTGGGAAGTCCTTCTGTATATGTGTTGCTTTTACTGATTAATAAAGAAGCTGCTTTCAGCCAATGACTTAGCAGAACATAGCAAGGCTAAAAGAGATATGGAGAGAGAATAGGAGAAGTCAGTGAGAAGCCATGTAGCAGCCAGAAGAGAAAGAACCACCGACTGGAACCTTGCTAGTAGGCCACAAGCCTCATGGTAAAATACAAAATAAGAGGAATGGGTTATTTTAAGATATAAGAATTAGCCAGAAATATGCTTAAGCTATTGGCCAAACAGTATTGCAAAATATATAGTTTCTGTGTGATTATTTCGAGTCAGGGCGGTCGGGAAATGAACTAGCAGCATCCGACAACATAACTGTACTTTAAAATCCACTACAGCAGACCCCCGTGGGGACAAGCTATAATACCCACATGGATGCCCACTGTTCTACAGCACAGCACAGAAATGCATATACAGATAGATGTATGTGTTTTCTTATTCATAGATATTAGATAATTTAATTCACAAATTAGGCAGATTAATAAATTGACAAAAACTAATGATAAAATAGAGCAAAGATAGGCATATACTACAAAATTATTTTAAATATATTAATAAATTATTCTAAAGTTGTTCGTTTAATATTTTAAGACTGCAACTGACTAGAGGTGACTAAAACTTTGGAAAGTGAAACCACAGAAAGAGATTGCTGTTCTTAATCACTTCAGGGACCAACAAATCAGCATACTTGCTGGAAGATTAAAAACAAAAATTAAATCAATCTGATTTAAACTTACTCTCATTCTCCACCCCCCGCCCCACTATTCTTTAGCACTGCTTTTAGAAAACCCTTCTGGTAGCATCAAGAGACAAACCCCACAGTGACACCACTTTACTCACATTTATGTCCGTGTGGTATATGAGAACACATAAAGCTGGCAAAATCTGAGGAAAGAAGATAAACAGTCATGCTAGTTGATGGAAAGAAATGTCTTTATAAAAACAATGACACAAAAAACAGTAACTACTTAAAGTGTGAAATTTGTTTGAATATCTAATTTAATAAATTCAATTTGAAAATCAAAAACGTATTTCAAATGTTTAACTAAAAGATCCAAATAAATCTAATAAAGATTAATACTCCTTAAAAGAAAGTCAATTATTTTCAGAAACCTTATTTATGGCATAAAATGTCAGGTGAGAAGAATGGAGATGTTAGCATACAGGCATACATTGTAGTTACAAGAAATTTCCTTTCACAGTCATCATCGTCTAAATTTTTATTCAGTAAGATGCTGGAGTAAAACACTAACTTTAGTCAGGAAAATTACAACCAGCTGGGCAGTGGTGGCACACGCCTTTAATCCCAGCACTTAGGAGGCAGAGACAGGTAGATCTCTGTGAATTTGAGACCAGCCTGGTCTACAAGAGCTAGGACTGTTACACAGAGAAACCCTGTCTCAAGAAACAAAAACAATTACAACCAGTGCAAGGTATAGGGTTTGTTTGCTGACCCCTAGGTCTAACAGGTCTTCTACAAACCTAGAGCAACTGAGTAATGGCTGTTAGGCACTCACACTAAGAATAGACACGAGATAAAGACACAGCTTATAAAGATACAGAGTCAATGACTCTCTAAACAGTCGAGCCAATAAAGGTTTTAAAGGATTTTTAAATTTTAAAGTAGAGCACATTTCTAAGAACACCAATTTTTTCAGAATTCAATGGACTGAATGCAAATTAACTCAAATTATTTGCATATTTCTTAGCATTAAATCCAAAAAGTAGTACAGCAAAACAGGGCTTCCTCCCTCCCCACTTATTTGAATTTATGTTTTCTCTTCATGGAAATAGTCATGAAAAAATACATTAAATGGACTGGCATTCTTCTTGCTACTTACTGTATAGCACTTAACTCTGACATATGGTACGTTATACTTAAAAACAGAAGAATTTTCAATAAAATCAGTATATGCTCATTATATATTCCCTGTAAAGCATGATCAGGGAGATAAGCCATCTCGCCTTTACAATTCTGCATTTACCTCCTGAACTGTCTCCATAGGCGGTGGGGGGTCCTTATTCCTGCAGAGATTGACAATGACCCATGTGACGTTCCGAAGGAAGGTGATGGGAATGGAGGGGTTGATGAAGGACAGAAGAGGTTTGACAACTCCCAGTGATATGACATAATCTCTACATTGAGGACCATCACCTACAGAAATGAAAATTGTATTTAAAAAAAATTACAATCAGGATGGGAAAGTCTGAAATGTGTGCAATGGCTCATGTTGGGACACTGATGCTCTATGTTTCCTCACCATAGTCAGACATCAAGTGCTGCTTTCCATGATTTTGATTTGGGGAACACAAATTTAACCACTACCAACACAAATTATATATTCCTTTTACACTTAAGAACCACCTTACAAATGTTTATGAATACAGTCAACTCATGAAATCCAGAGGAAACATAGTGTGTAATGGCTATGCCAATGTAGGAAAAAAAGTTAATTTAAGATTCTCAACTAAAGCCTTTTCAAACCCAAATTCAGCTTACCTATAATGTTTCCCAAAGCCCACACCGCTTGTTCACAGACATTCTGATGTGGGGAATGGAGGAGTCGCAGAAAAAGGGGCACTGCATCTGTGTGTAATAAAAACTCAGTTATCTGACGTGGTCACAGATTTCTACTCAAGCAAGTCAATAAAGTAGTCACAGGTCACAGTTCACTGTATAAACAGGGCAAGGATACATAAAAGTAACTAACTTCAGTACTTTTAACCTGGTAATACTTGAACAATAAAGTACCAAACAGAGCCCAAAGCATACTATTATGCCATCAACTTACAAAAAAAAAGCACAAAATCTTCCCTATATTTAATTTTTTAAGTTCCCATCCCAAACATGTATCCTGAAATCATCATACTTATTTTCAATAAAATTCCTCAGAACCAACTAACCAGATTTACCAAGTAATGTAAAATAACCATATTTCTTATTCTTTCTATATTTTTATGTGTACAGGTGTTTGGCGTACATGTATATCTGTGTACAAGTATCTGTGAAAGCCAGAAGAGGGTGTTTGATGCCCTAGAACTGGAGTTAAATATTGCTGCGAGCTACTATGTATGTGTGTGCTGGGAAAGGATTCCCTGGGAGAGCAGGCAGTGATCTTAACACCTCTCTAGTCTCTAAATTTCTTATTCCATTAAACCCTACACATTATCACCATAACCAACCTCAAGATAAGTTCACCTTTTCTTAAACTTTCTACTCTTGTGCCAGCTCCAGGATATTTAGGCTTTACCTGTACACTATTAAAACTTACTAGGCCTTTTTGTTAAAAAAAAATTCATACTTTAAAAGAATGTATCACTGGTAAGTATATATTACTTTTTAGCACTTTTGCAGAACTACATGTTCATCAACCCTCGAAGAGCTTTCCGATCTCTAGCAATCACTAACCACTTACTCTTCTATTATTCAGAACCCCAGAACCAGGCAAACATTAAATAGCTGCCTTTTCTGTTTATACATTTAGAGAAACACACATACTGATTTCTTTCATTATGTGACTTTTTTTTTAAAATATTTATTTATTACGTATACAGTGTTCTGCCTGCATGTATCCCGGCAGGCCAGAAGAGGGCACTAAATCTCATTACAGATGGTTGTGAACATGTGTGGTTGCTGGGAATGAATTCAGGACCTTTGAAAGAGCAGGCAATGCTCTTAACCACTGAGCCATCTCTCCAGCCCCCACTATGTGACTTTCAAGTGCGCCTCTGATGTTACGGGTACCGATGCTTTATTCTTCTAGACTGTTAAACAGTATTCTGTTGCACACATTTTATTGATGCATAATAGAGGACTTCTGAATCATTATGACTGATGCTGCTGTGAACACCTGTCACCTGTGCACCAATCACTGTATGCATGCTTTCTCTCTCCATTTCATCTAGGTGTAGAACTGGGGACACATGGTGAATTCCATGAGGAGCTTTTTTAAAAAACTAATATTCAAAGCATTTATATTTTCACCACTGATAAATTGTTTATAATGAAAATCAAACGCTGTAGTTAACCTTACCTCCTAGTTTCTATTAAAAACTTGTTCATAGCCAGGCAGTGGTGGCGCATGTCTTTAATCCCAGCACTCAGGAGGCAGGGGCAGGTTGATTTCTTTAAGGCCACCCTGGTCTATATATAACAAGTTTCAAGTTAGCCAAGGCTACACAGTGAGGATGTGTATAGTGGCATATTATTTATGACCAGAGCTAAAGCCACTAGAGGTCAGGCAAAGGTGACACACAACCTTAATCCCAGGATTTGGGAGACACAAAGTCAGATGAATCTCTGAGTTCAAGGCCACCCTAGGCTACACAAGATCAATGCAGAAACAAATCCAGGTGGTGCCCTTAATCCCAGCACTAGAGGGAATAAATATGCGGTCACCCAGCCTTGGTAAAGGGAAGACTTTTAGTGACTTGGCTGTTTTTGCTTTTCTGGTTTTTAGGTTGAACCCCAGTATCAGTATTCATGATACAGACCTATCTTACAATTCAAAAACAATTTTTTAACTAGTGTATATAAATCAGGTGTAACACCTGTAATCCCAGAACTTAGAACACTAAAGCAGGAGTATCCTGAGTATAAGGTCAGCTGGGGACTATACAGAAAGCTCAAAGACAGACCTGGCTACACAGCAAGACCCTGCCCTGCCCTCCCCCCCCCCCCAAAAAAAGTATATGCCATAACATGAAAAGGCTTAAGCTACTCAGCACACTCAGAAGGTAGTATTTAAAATAAGACTTTTCAGTCCTTATTAGGGGATAGTCTTCACCCTGAAAGATAATAGTCCATTTTCTTTTTGGGTCCAAAGTAAGAATTATTTTATGACAGTTTAATACTGAAGGAAAAAAGAAATCATTCAAGTAATATAAAAACTTATACTATAACTTTAAAATATTCTAAGATGAAATTTAGTCTTTAGTATAAAACCCTGTGTCATCATTAAAAAAGAAAGATTTGACTTACTAGACTGTACAACAGCTTGAGTCTGTGCAGAGGTTCCTGATGCTATATTAGTTAGTGCCCAAGCAGCTTCAAACTGTAATGAAGGACTGTTAAAAAACAAAATAATCCTTTTAGACATGGAACCATCACCTTAACTTATAAGCCTCAAATCTACACAAGCACTATACCCGATCTTTCAATTTCACTTGTTATATTCATCACTGGCTGCCACCTCTACCAAAGCATCTGACTGCTTCTCAGTCACTACAAACCTGCCTCTTTATGTCCACTGATGGTTGCAATACTTAGCCAATTATGTCTCATGACTCTTCCTCAACATTCCTAGCCTTAGAGAGTAACCCACTATCACTGTACTAGCCAAAGTTCTCGCATCAGGTCAATACCAGCTGCGCCCTCCAGACTACTCACAACTGGGACCCTCACCTGAGTACACTATCATTTGGGTTATATTACTAACTGTAGTTATTAAAGCCTGCATAGTTCTATAGCTAAAGCATTATAATCTGAGACAGTCATGGAAAATCTAACAAAGTAAAAATCAAATTCACTATTCTAAATTTTAATTTAATCGGCAGGCACTGACACTCTATGATAAAAAGGGTATCATGGGTGGGATGATATGTATGGACAACAAGAAATGGGGCTAGAAAGCTGAAGTTAAGGATGAACAAAAATAAAACTGTGATCATGTAAATGTTGGTGGGATATGGTGTGTATCTCAAATGTTCTAGGGTTCACAACTTGAAATTTATTCTGCTGAGAAGAGTAAAGCCAGGCATAGTGACACACACCTTTAATCCCAGCATTTGGGAGACAAGTGTAACTTTGTGAATTGGAAGCTAGCCTGGTCCACATAGTAAGCTCCAAGTGAGCCAGGGCTACACAGTGAAGACCCTGTAGAAAGAAAGGAAAGGAAGGAGAGAGAGGGGGGGGGGGAGGGAGGGAGGGAGGGAGGGAGAGAGAGAGAGAGAGAGAGAGAGAGAGAGAGAGAGAGAGGAGAGAGACTGACAATCAGAAGAAAGGAAAGTAATGGAAAAAATAAAAACAGGTGCAATTTTAGATACAAGCAAGAGAGGGGCAGGGAGAGAATGATAAGCTCATGGACTGCCTGAGCTACAGAGCAATTCAAAATGGCCCGCCCAGGTCAATGAACAAAACTACAAATCAAAAGTAAAAACAGAAGCAACAGCTAGAGACACAGTCCAGTGGCAGAGTACTACTGCCTGGTATAAGGATCCAGTAGGGGCGTAGGAGGATGGGAGTCAGAGTCAGAGTCAACAGCATGTAAAATGGATAAAAGAGGTTAAAGGCTTCTACAGGAGAGGTCTGTTAAAAAGAAGTAACAAAGATAGAAGAATATAATGTCAGAAATAGTGGAATAGGAAGGCATATAGCCAAAAATATAAAATAAAAAAATGAGCTCAAAACTAGGGAATGAGAAGAAAAATCTCTATACAAACATGGAAGTAAGGAAAACAAATGATCAGCTTTAGCAGCAGTGCAGATGGAAAATACCTGTTACGTGTCATAAAGAGCAAGTAGAAAACGGAGCAGACGGAGCTGACCGGATCAGTTCTGGCAGAAAGCAGGGAATGAGAAGGTAGGAAAGGCAGACTGGGGAGTGGACGTTAACAGGATGCTGTAACAGGAAGCAACAAACAATCTAGACTTCCCTAACTAGAATGGGAGGAATTAGCAAACTCCTGTGGAGAACTTAGGAAACACTGGAAATGGGGGCCATGAATGGAAAATGGGAAGATACAAAAAGTAAAATTTCAAGGCCATGGAAAGTCTTCTAAAGGGTCATATGGGAAAAAAGAAGAGAGAGAAAAGATATAAAAACAGCTGAATGAAGCAAATAAACAATGTAGAATATTTTGTTTAAATTTTGTACATTTTCTCACAGCCACCTAATTTTTACAGATGGGATGACTGAGGATTCTGGTCAACACCTAGTCTAGATTTAGACCAGGATCTATATGGCCCTGACGTCTAACATGCCTTTTACACTGTAACACAGCTTTCCATGAGAAACCATAAAGTCATTATTTAAAAGCACTGGCAATTTTCTATTCATGACTTGGGCGATGGCTCTGAAATTATTCATTAAGTTGTTTATATTTTGTCGTATTTTTTATTTGTTTATTTCCTAGACAAACTCCCACAAACCTATGCCAAAGGCTATATCAAATAGACAGGAATGGAAAGACCAGAGCCAGGAACCAAGAACAAAAAAGGAGCCTTGCTGGCAGATGTAAGATGAAATTTAATCTTTTAAATAGCTGGAATAAAAGTTATATTTACTCTCTGCTATGGAAAATATACGGCAGTTTTTTTTAAGGTGTTAAGTATAGTGACACATCTTAATCAAAGTATCTCTTAATTCCAAAGAGACTGAGACTTTCCAGACCTCACAGCTCAATTGATAATCCCCCCTGAGATCACTTAAGACGGTGTACTTAACCAGCTAGCCTTCTAGGAGTTCTGTGTCTTTAAGTTTAATTTGCCTTTAAGAGAACAATGTAACCAGCCTTACTAGGCCTTGGATTGTTCAAGCAATCAGCAACTTTTACAACTTAAGCTACTGCATAGCTTTACTCTTAGTACTCCTCCATGCTCCTGACCCAGAATTGTGTGTGTGTGTGTCACTTGCTGAAAACACCAGACAGATTTAGAAGCAACCTTATATGACAAATATCCACCATAAATGTTGAAAACAATTTGTGGATAGATATAGCTTGATCATGTGTTTGCAGTATTGTTTGCCTGAGTTAATTGAATTCCCCATCCCTTTCTCAACGCCCTGTTTTCTGTGCTGACCAATACTGAGCAAAAGTCATTTGTTAGGAACAGACACAAGGACAGGAGCATATTCAGACACATACAGATCAGACAGGCAGGCAACAGGGACAAATCAGACCCATACAAGAGGTAGATTACAGATGGGCCAGCAACCACAGTATACAGATAGATGAAAGACACAGGAAGAATAATGGAAATAGAAATTTGGGCTTACTCTTTGTCAAGTTAATCTAAAAGGAAGTGGCTTTGTTTTCATTCCCTATAGCACCATCATTGCATTTTAATGTTTGCTGAGGTTATCTTCAACGCATTAACAGACACAGTTAAGGCCTAGAGGTAGAGGGAGATTGCAGCTACTGTGGAAGCATAAGGTGTTTGCAAATACAAAAAGTCCTTATCGGCAGCACTTTTATTTTTATTTAATCAACTAAAACTTTCTTGGATATTTAGCAAAATAACTTTTTCAGGCCATATGTTCTAGATGCAAAAATAGTATTTGTTTTAAAGAATTATGGGGTTCAAACCAAGTTAATTCAAACTGAAGGAGCTTAATGCACAGCCCTGAGAAATGTCTATGTACAAATGGACTGCCCTCCCTTCTCTTCTGGGTAAGCAGCGCTCCCTCGCATGATACGGGACAACTAACCATGGCTGGAGTGTACTACCCAGAGGATCGGTGATCTGCTGGTCTATTCCCAGGGTAAGGAAGAGCCACATGGTTCTGGACACCATTCATGCTGACTAGTCATGAGGCTAATCTATATATAGAATCATAAGCAAATGGTGACTCAAATACTATTTGTGATGTTTAAATACCATCAGAGAATAAGAAAATTACATGGAAATGTATGACAATTTAAAGAATATAGCATCTGCTATATATATAAAGAATATATAGCACCTGCTCAAGGCCTGAGTTTTTTCTACAGTACCTCAAAACAAAATAAATCCAAGCTCAGTGAGAGCAAACCACCACCAAACCATTTAGTAAAATACCAATTTTAAATTTAAATTAACTGGAAAAAGTGAGCAGACAAATCCAGACTTACTTATCATCCCTTTCTAGACATTTGACTAGAATTGGTAAAATCCCAGATTTTATTAGGTCATCAATTGGTGGATTTCTGTCACTGGATAATAGTTTCCTATAAAAAGAAATATAAGATTAATATATGTTGTAGCTCTCAAACTATGAACATAAATATACTCTACTTCCCCACTTCTGCACAGTCAGCTCCAACACCATAAGGTGCAGATCAGCTCTTACCTTGCTGCCTGGACAGCACTCAACTGGACTACAGGGTTATCACTTGTAGCATTCTGCAACAACAAGTGTATATTTCAGACATTTATAAAAAAAAAAAAACTTATTTTAAACCATTTCAGAATGGTAGTATTAAATTAATAACTTACCTGCAATATAGCTTCTAGTGTTACGTTTTGCTTAAAAAGAAAGAAAGATAGTTCAGCAGAGAATATTAACAAAACTAACAAAACTATTAGTATGTCTGGTTATGAATTACTATGCCTTGTAATTATCACTATCTGATTTTTGTTAAATTTAAAATAACATCCACTGGTCATGACGAAAGTATTTACAGACACATTATAAAAACAAGGGCAAGACTTACTGCTTTAAAATCAGCATCGACATCTGAATCTTCTAAGCTTTCTTCCTGGGGAACATTTCTCTTTTTCAGTAAGTGTTCATCTCTTTTGTTCTGAAAGGTAATAGATAAATGTTTAAGAGTTCATGAAGGCTGTTGTTAATAAAATTGTATTGGTGCCGAATTAATTAACAATGAACTTGTTTAATTCCACTGTATCTGTGTCATCTCCATCCCCAGCTCTTTAAGCACCAGGTGTTCTGACCAACACTCTAAGGTACTTGAGGTACAGAACTATGCATCAAGCAGTTTTCATCTACCTACTGCTAACAGCTACCTGGAGCAATTTATTAAGAAGATCTTAGGATAAGTATTAAGCCTAGTTGCAAGCTGGGGGGTATAAGACATTATTAAGTGTCGTATGAATTAGCTGCATTGCCATGTATGGAAGAGGTCAGAGAAACACTTTTGGGATTCAGTTTTCTCTTCTGCTCTTATGGAATCCAGGAATTGAATGAAGGTGGTCAGGCTTGTGCTGCAGGTACTTTGACTGACTGACCATCTTGCCAGCCCAGATTAAACCCTTGCTACCTAAATTTTACAAACAAGAGTTCCTCCTATCCTACATTTCATGACACCCAAATTGTTCAGAATGTTAACTATGCCATTTCAAGTATTATTTAACAGCAATAAATTTTTAACTTAAAATTTGAATAAACTTCTGGTACCCAATATTTGTGGATCTTTTCGATTCTGAAGAAAAAAGTTATTTAAATATCCTTAATATTCATGGCAACATTCAGAATAGAAAATGAAAACTACATACACATGTGCAAACACTAACTTCTGCTCTATGTACAAGCCAGCACATGCAAACACAATGACGTCTATATAGTCATCATTCTTCCTTAGTAACTACACAAATAACCAACAGTAGCTACCTTTTAACCTACAGTACCTCACAGATGGCAAAGCCCCTGATGGATATATATGAAGGTATAGTGAAAACAACGGTGGGTGGCGCTCTCTGGTTTTTGTTCTGTTATGTTTATTTGGTGTGAGGCAGTTTCTATGGACAGAACCTGGGGCTTTGTACATGCTGGGCAAGCACTCTGCGACTAAGCCATACATGCAGATCTCATGATATTTTTGGCCAAATGACAAAACGTGCTACCAACAGTAAAGGACAAGTTAACTCTGTGTGCTCCCTGGTCTGGTGCAGGGAAAAAGAACAACAATTATCCCCTTGGCATTATTCCTAATCAAACTAAGTAACTTTAGAAAAACCAGAAAAACCCTAACCTACTATTTAATAATAACAATAATAAAGCCTGCATGCTTCCAAGATGAAGTCACTAAAGATGAGAAAGACTGGGACCAGTCCTACAGGAAACGCAGTATGTGATCTTGGATAGGCTCTTTGACTAACAATCTGCAAATTCTGAGTCGACTCTACTGACTAGAAGATGTAATCTTATGTTATCCTGATAAATGTACTATTACACAGAAAAGTCTCTTTCTATGGATACTAAAGGTAATAGAAAATCCTGTCATTATTTGTAGCTGGATCAAAGAAAAAATACATGTGTGTCTAATATATAAATAAAAGAAAGCAAACATGGAAAAGTGCTAACAATCCAAGGAAGCTATGTGCCACAAGCATGTACAGTGGTTTTTGTATTTCTTGCAATTTTAAGTTTCAAACTACAAACCTGAAATTGCTTCCCAAAAACTAAAATTAATTCCATTTACAAGTTTAAATAAATTAACTTTCAGCACAACTATCATCCTGGCTAGTTTTTTTTCCCCCCCTTTTGTCAACTTGACACAAGATAGATGGACTCTCAGTTAAGAAAATACCCCATAAGATCTGTCTGGAGGCAAGTGAGAGGCATTGTCTTGATTGATGGTTGATATGGGAGAGTCACTGCTAGCAACGCTACCCTCGGCTGGTAGTCTAGGTGCTCTAAGAAAGCAGGAGGAACAAGCACAAGGGGCAAGCCAGTAATTATCAGCCCTCCTCCATGGCCTCCACTTCAGTTCCTGCCAACTTGCCTACATGACTGACTACAAGCTAGAAGATGAAATAAACCCTCTTTCCCCCAAGTTGCTTTGGTCATGGTGTTTCCTCAAACTATTCTAACCCTGATCCCTTCTATCTTCATCCTGGTTCACTTCAGCTTCTCAGCACCTGAAAAGTTAAGCGCCCAAATCTCTCGGGAATCTGACTCCATTTATCACTCCTACTATTCCAGGATATAAATAGATCCCTGTCACAGGATAGCACTTTTCATCATAAACAACATGTCTGCTTTCGTAGGTGCACCCTTATGTACTTAGGGAAAAGCTTCCTATACTTTTCATTTGGATAGACAGTGCCTTGCTAGGTAGTCCTCACTGGCCTGAAATTTGCTATCCCTATCAAACCAGCCTCAGACCCTGATGTGCCTCCCTCTGCCTTCGGACACTCTAATAAAGGTGTGCGCCACCACACTGGACAAACCACCTTTCTATACCTAAATTGTTACGCTTCTTTTCAATTATGATGTTTAATTCACTAAATCGTGCACCTTCCTCTGCAAATGTGAAACAACCCACTTTTAAATGTGAAACTACCCTTTTAATTCTTGGACTCAGTTTATAAAGTCGTCATTTAATTACTCTTCCTCTCCCAAGTGGAATAGCTGACAAGCATACTTTCTGGAACTGTCTCATCTAGTGCTCCCGTGGTAGTTTTTGTTTCATAAAAGTGGAGAACTTTCCAATCGCCAATCAACCTCCTCCCCTAAACTTTCTAGAAATAGTCGTTATGCATCTTTAGTTCTTTAGAAACCATGGCTGCTCCTGACAACACAGAGAACAAATGAAACTGATTGGTTGGACTGAAAGGCTTGCATTGTATGTCAATCAGTTCATATAAGCAAAGTTCCTAAGCTTTGACTGATTGGTGAAAATTGTAACTGTACCTTAGCATTTGTTAATGCTTATAATTTTTGTGCTTATAAGCCCCATTTTTGCTCCTGCGTGGTGCTGTCAGGAGAACAAGGCTCCTGAATACTTGTCCTGCAGCTCTAATCGATCAGAGACCGGCTTATTTGATGAATTATTCAAATCTTTGGAACCTTTAAGTGTTGTCTCTTTCCTTCCTCATGGTTCATAACAGGCTAGGTGTAAAATCTGCACTACCTTGCCAACCCTTAAATTCCTTGGACCATTTCTCCAAGGAATCGTGTGATCCTTTTAGGATATCAGTAACCAAGAGGTAGTAAACTAAGTACTCTGGAGGCTGAGGCAAGTAGATGGCGGCTTGAGTTCCAGGACACCCAAAGATATATAGAGACCCTGTCTCAAAACACACACGGAAGGAAGGAAGGAAGGAAGGAAGGAAGGAAGGAAGGAAGGAAGGAAGGAAGGAAGGAAGGAAGGAAGGAAGGAAGGAAGGAAAGAAGACAGGCATCTAAAAAAATTTTCTAAAAAAAACAAATCAGAATACAACAAAACCAAAGAAATAGTGCAAGAAACACAGCTGCAAGGACATTCCCATTCACACACACAGACATTCCATTAAAACACAAAATAGGAAATGACAGAATATAAGCAAAAAATCTGGGGGGCAAAGCCGGGCGATGGTGGTGCACACCTTTAATCCCAGCACTCGGGAGGCAGAGGCAGGAGGATCTCTGTGAGTTCGAGACCAGCCTGGTCTACAGAGCTAGTTCCAGGACAGGCTCCAAAACCACAGAGAAACCCTGTCTCGAAAAACCAAAAAAAAAAAAAAAAAAAAAAAAAATCTGGGGGGCACTAGGCAAAGCATTAAGTTAAAACCATTGTGTTTGTTTTGTGTTGGCTATCTGTTGCTAGACACGGGGCCTGCCCTTAAGTTTGATTTGCATACCCAGAGGAATTCCATTGGAGAAAACCAATTTTTCCTTTGCAAGCAGTTAACAATTGGAGATGGCTTTCTGTGTTAGGAATGGGAACTTCTGTCCACTTACACTCTCAGTACTGAGAACCCCATCTGACTTAAACTATGCAGGCCCTGTAGCTGCTGCCATGGTCTGAGTTCATATGTGTGTCAATCCTGCTGTGTCTAGAAGGCCTTGTTTCCTTGGTATTTCCCATCCCCACTGATTCTTAAAATCTTTCAGCCTATTCTTCCATCAAGTTTCATGAGACCTGAAGGGAAGTATTTGACAAAGACATCCCATTTAGGACAACATGTTCAGAGTCTCTCACTTTATACACACTGTCGAGTTGTATGTAGGTCTCTGAATTTGTCTCCATCAACCGCAAGAGAAAGCTTGGGTATAGCAGAATGTCGTTAGCAGTCATTTTACTGCTACATTCCTTTAGCAGACAGTGGAATCTGGTACCCCTTGGGTCTAGAACCTATCTAGTCTCAGGTTCTTGGGCAGTGTCAGCCTGGTCTCCATCTCATGAAAAAGGACTTCAATCCAATGTGGTCGTTACTCCTACAACTTGTTCGCCACACCACTGCACCAGCACATCCTACAGGCAGGTCACTGCTGTAGACTGAACGTTTGTAGCTGGGCTGTGTGTAACTTTCCCTCTGGTAATATACAGTTACTTCCAGTACAATGAACTCTAGTCCATAGGGGTGAAGGTTCTAGGTAGGCACCAGCTCAATTTCTCTGTACAATGAGTTATGTAGTTGCTGCCTTCAGCAACAGGGCCTCACCATCAGTTTGTGGAGAAAAATCAACAGGGTTAGAAATCACATTGGTTGTCTGGGGATTTCCATAGGTTCCCTCAGCCAATAACTCAATTAGATGCAACCATTTCTAGCAAAGGTTTCATTTGGCTGCAAGAAATGTCTCGTTGGGGCTGTCTCCCCTGCTACATGGTGACATCATTTAGATTTCATTCATAAACATGTGTTTAAAAGCCTCTACTGCAGTAGTTTTTCATATAGCACCTCAAATGGTCCTTAGTGTAGTTGTCCCTCTTCCATCTCCTTCCTTCCCCCTCTTCCCTTCCCCACATTTGATTTTCCCATTCCAGTCTTTCCACTTCTTTCTTTAATGTCTTAAAGTTTTTATTATACAAATCTACCATATGTTTGGTTAGTTACCCCCCACAAAAAACTTTTGAGG